ACAATTGGATATGTAAGATAAAAACCTGGTCCCACTGAAGGTGTAGGGCTATCTGAACAGGATATACTTTGTTCCTACTATTTGTTATGCCTGGGTAGACTCTTAAGCCCACATGTTACCCCAGCAATATCAATGGGACATCCTACAGGATGGAAATCTGAGTCCACACACAACAAAGGGGTGTGATCTTGCAGTGACTTGCAGGATCTTGGCCTATAACAGTGATTCTCAACTGGGGTTGAGGCACCCTTGGGGGGGTGCCTTGAGATACTTTCAAGGGTGCTGTGGGGCTGCTACAAAATATTACCACTGTTAGGTGGTCAAACATGATTCACAAGCTAAAGCCAGAGATTTCAAATAAGGATCCATAGTGTTGAAGATATTTAGACTTGCCACGGTTTTTCAGAGTTCTTTGCAACAAAAGAACGGCTCTATCGTTTTTCTGTAGTTACGATGTGAGTGAAAACTAAGAACTGGTATTTTCTGAAGGGGGATCCAGCAAGGGGTGGTCTGAATCAAAAGAGGGGTGCCTTGAGTCTACAAAAGCTGGGAACCACTAGCTTACGAACACTAAACTACTGTGCAAAATAAAAGCTTCTCATGTACCTCAATGTCAGTGTGTTGCCTTGCTCATGAGCAGACCCAGCATTTTGAAAAGTGGGGTGCAGAATGTGGGGCACATCATTACATATAACACGACACATTTTTTCTGCAGTTCAAGAGAAATTAGATGCTTTACTAATCTTCTAGGGGGGTAGTGCTATATTCTTCAGTTTAAGATCAGAGCAAAAACAAATATAACTAGGGTAATGTGCACTAATTTGCTAGGTTATGTATAAAGTTTAAAAGATGCACAATACATGAGGCAAATGGTCAAAACAAAACAAAAAACTAGACAAAAAACAAAAACACAACAAACTAGGCAAATGGTCAAAAAGAGACGGTATCCTGATGCCTGTAGTTAAATATACATCACTTCTTCAGCTCCACAAAACAGAATTGAGCCTTCTTGAGTGTTTTGACAGTGCCTCTAATACTTTGCTGTCAGTCATTTCTGTACCTGAGTTAATATTACCAAGCCTGAGATACAGTTTTTAGCTGGAGCTAAAAACAGCCTGCAGGGGTGTGATAAAAGTGTGGGGCTGTGCAACAGGGAAGAGACATTACCAACAGTGGCTAAGAGGCAGCACAACTACATGAGGAAAAACTAGTTTGAATAGTGGAACCTCAAGGGTTTTAAAAAAGAGAGAGGAGTCTTAACACCTGTGGAGCGGAGAGTTTAGGAGGAATGAGGGAGATGACAGTGAGCCACAAAGCAATGGCTCCCTCAGTGCTGCCTGAGTAGGATTACTACTTTTCCTGCCAGGCAGGTGGCTTTCGAGTGGGGGTGAAGCAGGAATCCAGCGGGGCAACTGCACCACTGTGGCCAGATTGGTGTGGACTGTGGGGAGTTTTACCTTTCTCTGTGGTTGTGGGGGAGAAGAGGGTGCAGCCCTCCACCTGGGACCTCTTGAGCATATATTGACATAATTTTCTAGAAGCAGGACTTTGCCTGCCATAGTTCCCCTGCTTTACCTGTGGCAGGTTAGGGTGTTAGGTCTGTGCTGAGTCAGGATTAAGGGGAGACTTAGTAGAGTTTAGATTATGGATGTATGGGATGGTTTGGATAGGGGTGATCCTGCCTCAGGCAGGGGTTGGGGGAGGTTGGACTAGATCGGGGTTTCTCAGGCTGTGGGTCATGACCCAAAAGTGAGTTGTAAGAATATATGAAAGGGTCACAGACAAACTTTAAAAATGGTTTCTCCTTTAAAGGACAAAAATGTGGGAAACTATGGCTTTTCCCTTTCAGGTTGGCAGAGTTCCAGCTTGCAAGGGCCTGCTTAGGGCCCTCTCCCCCACCCCATACTCTGGGGGTGGGGGGCTGGGGCCTGAGTGCAGTGGGTCGGGAGTGAAGGGCACTGGGACTGCCCATTGATGTTTACAAATGGGTCCTGGTACAAGAAAGGTTGGGAACCACCCAACTAGATGACCTCTGGAGACCCCTTCCAGCCTTACTTCTGTATGACACTGCACTCCCTGCGCCTGAAAAGGATGAGCAGGCATCTTCTTAAGGGCACCTTGTGTTTCTAGCAAGGGGCACTCCAAATCTAACTGGGGCAACTTCAATCTCTAAAACCTGGACTGCGCTAGCCTTGCGCTGCCCTGGGTTAGCCACAGGGCTTCAGAACCTGACCGAGGTTGCAGCTAGGTCCTGGGCTGCAAGTACTCCCACTGCCAGCCCCAAGCACCTGGTATGTGTGTGTATGTGTGTGGGGGGGCTCTCCCTGCTCCTGGCTCTCTCCTCAACTCAGCGAGCTGGTGAGGCTCCCAACAGCTTGGAGCAGGGCAGGTTTGACAGGTCTTAAACATGAAATTATCATAGTGGACGCTCAAAATTATCGCATTTGCTGCAAAACTATTGAACACTGAAAAACTATGCAAATAAGTATGCAAATAAATCTTCTTCTTTACTTTATATCGTTTGCTAGAAGTTGCCAGTAAGTGAGTGAGAACTGGGTCATCAAAGTAGAAGCATTTCTTTATTTGAGGCAAGCAATCAGAAAAGTGCTAACAAACCCAAAAGTTAGTTAAGACTTCCTGAGAGTGACTTGGGTTTTGAGTATGCTGCATCCATTAGCTGAATTAACCAGCTCTAAAGTTATATGGGGTATAGGTTGTAAACATGTTGGTCTAAGGACATAGGCAGACAAGGTTCTTTGTGTAAATCTTTTATTAGACCAACTAAAACAGTTGGAAAAATGGCAAGCTGTTGGGTACAGGCCTGATGAAGGGTGTTTGTTCCCAAAAGCTTGCACAGAAGAATTTTTCCAAGTATTTTAGGCAGACAAGTTTATTTGGGTAAATCTGATCTTTTATTATTGGTCTAATAAGATATATTGGATTTACCCTTGTCTGCCTATGTCCTTAGACCAGCAGTTCCCAATCTGTGGTATGAGTACCACCAGTGGCATGCAGACAACCTGTCAGTGGTACACGTTAACAGATTTATTATAATTACTTCATATGACAAAGATTTGCTGGTGGTACTTAAGGCTGTATCATTATAAATTGGTGGTGTGCAATCTGTCAGAATTTGGGAACCGCTGACTTAGACCAACATGGCTACAACCTATATACCCCTCCAACTATTTGAGTTGGTCTAAGGAAAGATATCAAAAGTTCTCGTACAGTTGGCAGACAAGGGTCTTTGGGTAAATCTGATATCTTTTATTGTTGGTCTAATAAAAGTTATTGGATTTATCCTTATTGGTCTAATAAAAGATATTGGATTTACCCTTGTCTGCTTACATCCTTAGACCAGGGGTAGGCATTAGGCAACCCCCGGCACGGGTGCCAGAGTGTGGCACTCAAAGGCATTTTGCTTGGCACACGTGGCAGGGAGGGGGCCAGGGCTACATGGCAACAGCAAGGATTGGGCCCCTCATGGCTCCCCCATCATCCACCCTGGCACACCAACATCTTACAAGTTGAAGTTGTGGGTGTTTTCGGCACTCTGTCCCAAAATGTTGCTGACCCCTGCCTTAGACCAGCACAGCTACAAGCTATATACCCCTCCCATCATTTGAGTTGGCCTAATAAAAGCTGTCAAAAGTTCTCGTACAGTTGGCAGACAAGGGTCTTAGGGTAAATCCGATATCTTTTATTAGAACAACAATAAATCTGATATCTTTTATTGTTGTTCTAATAAAAGATATCAGATTTACCCTTGTCTGCCCATGCCCTTAGACCAACATGGCTACAACCTATATACCCCCCCAACTATCTGAGCTGGCTTAATAAAAGATATCAAAAGCTCTCATACAGTTGGCAGACAAGGGTCTTGGGTAAATCCAGTATCTTTTATGAGACCACTAATAAAAGATCTTGGATTTACCCAAAGACCCCTGCCTGCCTAAAATCCAAAAACTAGAACTCTTGGTTCCGGAATGATACCTTTTATTAGACTGAGAAAATTATTGCGATTTCCCAGTCAGTCTAATAAAAGGTATCATTTTGGAACCAAGAGTCCTAGTTTTTTGTGTACAAAATCCTTGGGAAAATTCCTTTCTGCCAGCTTTCGGGTACAAACACCCTTGGTCAGGCTGGGGAAGCGTCTGCAAGCTGGTCTGCGCTCTTTCTGGAGGGAGTCCTAAAGGAAGCCCGGGCCGGTAGGCATGAAAGAGAGCCGGTCAGCGGCGATGTAAATGGATAGTAGTGTTGAGACTGAGGTGGTCACTGGGTGAGAGACCGGTGGGTGGGGAGAGGGGAATGATTGTGGCTAGTAAAACGTGGAACGGGTTTTGAGTATCCACTCTTGAGGATATATTTGTAGACATACAACCCTTTTGAGTATCCACTACTGCGTACAGTGCGCATCGTGCCAGGGTTGAAACACTTCTGGAGACGGCATCACGCTTCGGCCGGGCCAGCGGGACGCAGAGGGCGCTGGCGGGGCCGGGGCGGGAGCAGGGAGGAGCTGGGGCCGGGCCGGGCCGGGCGGGGCAG